CTCAAAATGTATTTGGGAGCATTTGTGAGAGACAGTGGTGGACGAAGTACACATACCATGTACTTGAGTAAAAGTAAAGATACTCAAGGTAAAATATTACTCAAGTAAAAGTTAAAGTGCTGCCTTTGAACATTTACTTGAGTAAAAGTACAAAAGTATTTGCCTTCAAATGTACTTGAGTATCCAAGTACTTTTTTTTATGGCTATAATGTCCTGTTGTAATTTGTCACAAGACTCTTGCTTAACTCAATCTAAGTGAAGACTAATGACACTTTTGGCACACCAATCTATTAATGAAATGACATTAATTAGTCTGATGTATGTATATATATATATATATATATATATATGTATGTATAAATATATATATATATATATATATATACACACACTATCGGTCAAAAGTTTAAGATCGGTAAGATTTTTTATGTTTTTAAAAGAAGTCTCTTCTGCTCACCAAGGCTGCAATTTTTTGATAAAAAATACAAAAAAAACCAGTAATACTGTGAAATATTATGACAATTTAAAATGACTTTTTTATGTTAATATATATTAAAATGTAATTTATTCCTCTGAAGAAAAGCTGAATTTTCAGCATCATTACTCCAGTCTTCAGTGTCACATGATCCTTCACAAATATGATTTGCTGCTCAAACATGTATGATTATTATCCATGTTGAAAACAGTTTTTTACATTTTTATTTCAGGATTCTTTGATGAATAGAAAGTTCAAAAGAACAGCTTTTATCTGAAATGGAAAGCTTTTGTTACATTAAACACTACCCTTTAAAAAGTTTGGGGTCAGTAAGAATTTGTATTTTATTTTTGGGAGAAATAAATAAGAAATCAATACTTCTATTCATCAAGGATGAGTTACATTGATCAAAAGTTATAGGAAAGACATTTATAATGTTAGAAAAGATTCTAATTAAATAAATGCTGTTCTTTGAGGCCCTGTTTACACGAGAACGCTCGCGGGTGAGAACGTAAAAATATTTTATCGGATGTGCCTTTCGTTTACACGGTGACGGCGTTTTTGAGGCTTAAAATCGCAAAAAAAACTTCTGCTTGATAGTGAAGGTTGTACGCAGGCGCGCGGGCTTGGTGGTGTTGTAGTATGCATTCCTAGCCGCCTGAAGTGCATACTACATTGAATTTCACACACTTTTGCGTCACCATTTGCACGCGGAGTTCCCACTCAAAACGCTCATCTAAACGCAGAATAAAAAGTGATGATGCAACGCCACTTTTGCGTTTTCTCTTCAGAAAGAAAGATCTTAAACTTTTGACCGGTAGTGTGTATATATGTTATGGGAGCAGCCAATTTCCCTCCAAAATTAAACACAAAAACGTATTAACGCAGTGTTTCTGCTAGGCTATTCCCCAGAAAAAAAGTTATTGTATGCAAGTCATTTTAGTGGCAACGTAAGCAATGTACATTATGAGTCAATACTTACCGATATTGCTCCAATAATACTGCTCTTTGTCCCGCTTAAAATCATTGTCAACGCGATTTGTTTGGAACTATTGAGAGCTACACGAATAACGTGACCGCGCGGCGGCGAGATCACTGTCACAACCATCTATGTACGCAACTCTCATATTAAACGGCTCTGGTTTGCGCTTAGTAGTTAAAGCCAAGGCAAGTTCAAAACAAAGCACATGCGCTGTACTGTGATTGGTGGCTCGTTTGACCAGTTACGTTTTTATCCACTCATAAATAAAAAGAAACGACTGATTTTGAAAATGTAGTAGAGTAAAAAGTAAGATATTTGACTTTGAAATGTAGTGGAGTTAAAGTAAAAGTCTCCCAAAATTTAAATACTTGAGTAAAGTACAGATACGCAAAAAAGCTACTTAAGTACAGTAACGAATTACATTTACTCCGTTACTGTCCACCACTGGTGAGAGAACATCTTTTTTTCTAGTGCCGACCAGCCATAAATCGGAAATGGTCCAAACGCATGATCTAATGCTTTTTAGTTAAGTTTAATTACAAACTGCATTGCAATCGTTTTCCGATATGTCTTTCAGGATGTTAACACAGGCCAGAGACGGGACACGCTGAAGATGAACGTAATGAGAAGAGTGCATAGAAAATACCAGACACTACCACAGTTCATGATGGTCGAAATATAGAAAGCAAAATATAAATGTTAAATTGTGATGGGGATTTATAGGAATGTACCCAAAGAAATGCTTCTTTTCCACAAGCATCTCCTACTGTCAGAGAGTGAATTTGCATTTTCATCAAGTCCATCTTTTTTTGTTTTATTGGGGTTTGTCTTATGTAGTGATGGGACGGTATGAAAATTTCATATCACGATTATAGTGTCCAAAATAATCGTGATTATCAATATTATCACGGTTTTGTTCAAGTTTTTAATGTTGTTTATGTCTATGTGGTTTGTTTTAGTAATGTGCTTTAAGACAAACCATGTGTAAATCCATAAGTCAACACCATTGCTGAGTATTTTATTCTTAAAACTGCAGTGAATTAAAAACACGGTTTGAAACCACTGGTGTTTCGGACGTCACAAACAACCTTGTAACCAATCAGATCAGCGTGTGATCGTCAACGAGTGGGTCTCTGAGCCGCAGTGAGTGAGTGGAGGCGGGGCTCATTTGCAAATTCATAGAACCACATATGTACTAAATGAGGGTGTAGAGTTACATTTGTGCTATTTTAAAGGGGAAAAAAACGTTTAAATTTGTAATTTTGCTAATTAAAGATAAGTTTTAAAAGATAAAGTTATTGCCTACAGGGAGACTAAAGTGAGTTTAATTTAAAACCCATTTTAAGTAAGTTTTAACCCAGCAATATAGTCATTTTTAAACAATAGTTGATTTAAAAACGAAAGCGGTCCAGCATGTTGGGTCAAACATTTAACTCATGTCCTTTTTGACCCAGTGCTGGGTTGCCAACTGACCTAAAATGGGTTGATTTGAGTGTAAGAGAAAAAGATATAGTTGTAATCTGGTTGATTTAATCAGTATGTCCACCAAGACAAAATCACATGTTACACTTCTTTGTGGCTGTAAAATGTTAACAATGTCCATTTAAAAGACGTTCTTGTGAGAATCAGTAAAACTCTATGATAAAGGCAGCTACAATCTCTTTAATGGGCTCGGTAGAAAGTCCATTATGTGCTTCCTCCATTTTGCCTTGTGGCAGGGCCACTGCTGCCTCGACATCACATTAGCCACTACCAGCCTGAAGTGGGTGGTGTTTTGTTACATCATAAAATGTTATGAGAGCTATTACAGAGAGCCATCATCCTCTGCCACTCCATTGAGATGCTTGCAGAGATAGACATTCGGGGTGGGGGAAGGGCTCTCTTTATAGACATCACTTACCAGGTAAGGGCCTTACGTAAAGGCTTTCCGGGTCTGGATACATCAGAACAGGTACAAAGTCGGGAAATATAAACATTATTGTTTGCTGTGTCTTGATAAAAATGGCTGTATCAAGTGAGCAAGTGAGCGACTTAAAGGACAAGTTCGGTATTTTACACTTAAAGCCCTGTTTTAAGATCGTTTGATGTTTCTGACAGGTTTTATCGTAGTTTTTGTCCAAGTCAAGTCAATGGAGCTGGATAAAAACTACGATAAAACTACAGAAAATTCTCGGGACAGCCGCATGTTTCCAAATTTCAATCCTAACCATTATATGTCATCAGAAACAATCTTAAAACATGGCTTTTTAAGTGTAAAATACTGAACTTGTCCTTTAAGTAATGTAACTGCCTATTTTTTTTTTAGTTTCCCTATTCTAACTGATATAACTGATCATTATGCAATCAATTCTATCGGAATCTGATTCTGTGATTCGGGTAACTATTCACTTACGTTACGAGTATATAGTGCTAATTCCAGTAACCAATAACTACTTATTCTTTAGTTATCTGTAACTATTCAAAAAGCTATAGCTATTCAAAAAGCTAACTTTCAGTTAGTAAACTGGAATATATAGATATATTCCAGTTTTCCTAACTGAATAGAATCTAGCAACTGTTAATTACACTAGTTAAAACTTAACAGTAAGAATATAAAATAATATAAAAACTATTGGAATTAAAAAGTACTGTTATAGGTAACACTTTGCATTCAGGTTTCATTCGTTAATATTAGTAAGCTACTTTAACATTAATTAAGAATTAACAATCCTTTTACCTAGGACTGTCAAACGCATCCAAAATAAAAGTTTGTGTTTATGTGGGTGCACTGTGTATAATTATTTTGTATATATACACACATATGCATGTATATTTAAGAAAAAATATATAATTTATATATAAAATATTTATATATAATTTAAATATATAAATTATATGCAAATGTATATACAGTATACACATGAAAATATTTTCTTAAATATATACAAGCATGTGTGTGTGTATTTATATATATATATATATATATATTTATATTTATATATATATATATATGTATATATATATATAATTATACACAGTGCACCCACATATATTATGTAAACACAATCTTTTATTCTGGATGTGATTAATCGCGATTAATCATTTGACAGGCCTACTTTTACAGCATGGTCATTTCGACATGTATTAATACATTATTAATGTATTTGTTAACATTAGATGGTGCACTGTGAACTAACATGAACAGCTGTAGCCTATACTTTTATTAGATACTGCAACAAATGTATTGCTCAATGTTAGTTCATGTTTGTTAAAACATTAAGCAATATTAACAAATGAGACCTATGTAGTAAAACTGAAGTTGCAACTGAAAAAGATGGATGTCAAGTATTGAAACAAGTACTAGTGAACTAATATTAAAATATACATGCTATACTTGCAATATTAAGTTGTCCCTATGAGACCTCGATTGAAGAAGGCAGAAAAAAGTATTTAAACCGAGTGCGCCGTCAAGTGGTAATTCAAGGAAAACCTCAGCAAGTATCCTCACAAGATAATGTTCAGCAGAAGTGGCAGAGCATGCGAAATTCAAATGTTGACAAAACTTTAGAAAGGAAACTTACGGTAAAAGACGTACTCAGTGTAACTCGACCATATCTTGTCGTCAGTGTGCTGGTTGACGACCGAGGCCGTCACTGACGAGTTGCACGCGACCATCTGGAAACCACACTCCGAGAGCATGTCGAAAGAGCGCTCCAGGTGCTTGAACTTGAGGTAAAAGCGGGACGTGTACCTGTCGGGGGTCCTATCCGGGTCCCTGCTCTCATTCAAGGTCTCGCCAAAAACTTCTTTGGCCAGCGCAATCCTCCCACATATCATAATCCGTGGCACCCTCCGGAATTTGGCATCGGTTTGACTCTCCCTCCCCATTGTACAAGATCCGCGATATCCGACGGTTATGAACCCGCTTTTTCTGTCGGCGGGAACGAGCGAGGGCGGAGGGCACATTCTCTGGTCGCTTCCTTGAGACCCATCCTCGTAATCACTGTGGATGTATTCGTCAGGACTGGGCTTCAAGTCGTCCGGGCTTAAGAGTTTCACCAAATCAGGCAATTGAAAGTACTCCGCTTCTTTCCTCAGCCTCCCCTTCTCGGGGAAGTGGTCGGGGAGGACAACTTGCTTGTCTCTGAGGTAGTCTAACACATATCTGAACAAAAACCCATCCCGGTCGATGAAATAACGACCTTTGGGGTCCCTGGCGAGATCATTCGATGCGTTATTTTTAGGAGAGAATATTTTCCCCAAAAGGGAGCCAGGATTGCTTATTAACGTGACGTGTCGGGTATAATACACCTGCCCCCCGACGTTTAGTTCGATAACATCTGGAAAACTGTTGTCTTTAGCTTTAGAGTTTCCACTCAACGCCATGGTTTCAGTCATGGGTGACAAAATTTCCGAGGGTGGGAAAGGCGGAAAAGTTCGCTCTACAGCTTAGGAAACGGTTCAGTAAATACAGACGATGGACAATGCACATTAAATGGCAAAACAATAGCATTTCTAGTAATTCGAGCAGGTACCTTACATTTTCAAAATCCACGTCTTCTGCGAAAAAATGAATGAACGAAAGTACGGTGAAATATCCGAGGAGGAACTAGCACGCGCACACCAGAGAGTATGGTTTGCTCAGCAGCGTATGGACTGGGGCGCTTGTTTCATCGCCTGAAAAAAGCGTGTATACAAACGGAAGTTGCTGTTTAAATTCTGCAAAAACATTATAGAATAAATGTTTGTTTTTTTCTGTTTGGCCGTTCCAAAGTTCCATACAAGTTCAGCGGCGGTTTGAATCCAACTTTTGACGACCAAATCGAACCAGAATCTATAGTTTTAAAAGAAAACAGTCGAAAACAGTTCAAAGCAAATGTTTCTACAATTGGGTTGGTCGGTAATCCCAGCTGTTAAGAAGAAAATCCAGTGCGTGATCCTTTGCAATAATCCATGGTTTTGCGTGTTGGAAGGGTTTAGGAGTGAAGATGATGCAGCATCACTCTCTGCGCGCGCGTTCAGGGCTGTGGCGCCAGAAAATAACGCCTCAGCGGGCGGGAAAAAAAAAAAAACCATAATGGGTTATCAAAAATTACATCATCTTAAAGGAGTATGCACGCGATGCTGTGGCGTTGCTGGTTTTCGCGTCAGTGTAGGCTATATATCATTGTCAGACAGCTGTGTTCTATACTTGGGTATTTAGGTACAGAAAGGAAACCGATTGCCTGGAACATGTTGTGCCCTGGTGCTTTAATTCAAACATTTGACAATGACATTAATGTATTTTTTTTTTATAAGTAATCCCAGGTTGTGTGACGCTGTGAAGCCACAGTCAATTTCAGAACCTTGGACAGCGCCAGCGAACACAAAATCTCCTCTTCCAAGCTTGATTCCAATCAGTGGTTCTTTACAGCAGGACTGACAAAGACCCTCACATGTGATAACACCTAATCAATTTATACAGATTTATAATGTTTTAGAAAAAAAATAAACATGACATATTATAAAGACTGCATGTTCAATAAAATAATTTAACCAAGTGGGAAGTCTTTTGAATAGCTATTGTTCTTAAAAACTCATAGCCATTGTTTTAAAATGACAGAGTATCTTTTTCTGCATACTAGAGTAAAGGCAGTGATGAGGAGAAAATCCCCAGAAATATACAAGTTTGTATGTTGCAACCTTTTCAAATAAACAACAAATACTCATATACTCATTCCACGGTTGCCGATTCATGTAGTTTTGCTAAATTTTGTAAATGGTGCTTAAATCAATCATTTTACCCTACTATAGAATTTTTTTTTTTTTTTTTTTTTTTACGGAAGTGTATAGCATTCACAATTTTTTCTGAATTAATAAGTTAATTATCTCAGAATTGCGAGATAATTTTTCATGGAATTTTTTTTTTTTGCTCTGTTTTACTAATGAGGTAATTATCTCAGAATTATGAGATGATTTTTCATGGGAAAAAGTATTTGCTCTGTTTTTCTGAATTAATGACTTGATTATCTCATTATATATTAAATAATTCATACAGAGTGAATTTTTTTTCAAGAAAAATATATCTCATAATTCTGAGATAATTAACTCAATAATTCCGAAAAACAGAGCAAAAATTTTTTTCAATTAACAATTATCTCGTAATTCTGAGATAATTAACTCATAGATTTTTTTTTCTTCAAGTGAATGCAATATGCTTCTATGGAACCTTGTTTCCGCCATAGAATGAAAAATAAAAAAAGGTAATTGCGACTTTTAATCTCACAATTCTGACTTTTTTTCTCACAATTGCGAGTTTACATCTTGCAATTCTGACTTTATTTCTCAGAATTGCGAGATGGAAAGTCAGAATTGCGAGATATAAAGTCAGAATTGCGAGATATAAAGTCAGAATTGCAATATATAAAGTCGCAATTGGAGATATAAAGTCAGAATTGCGAGATATAAAGTCAGAATTGTGAGATATAAAGCCAGAATTGCGTGATATAAAGTCGCAATTGCGTTATAAGTCAGAATTGCTAGATATAAAGTCCCAATTGCGTGATATAAAGTCAGAAATGCATGATATAAAGTCAGAATTGTGAGATATAAACTATTCTGAGGGGGAAAAAAGTTAGTCTTTTTTCCCCCCTTAGAATTAGCCTGATAACTCGCAATTCTGACTTTGTTTCTCGCAATTTTTACTTTATATCACGCAATTGGGACTATATACTGTACACTGTTAGACCTTACCAGCTTTTTTACAGTAAAATACTGGCAACACTGTTACCAGTAATTTACTGTAAAAATGCACTAAAACTAATAAGTTGTATTTTTTAGTTAACTTGAGTTTTAGTGCATTTTTACAGTAAATTACTGGCAACAGTGTTGCCAGTATTTTACTGTAAAAAACCTGGTAAGGTCTAACAGTGTATTACGCAATTCTGACTTTATATCTCGCAATTCTGACTTTATATCTTGCAATTCTGACTTTATATCACGCAATTGGGACTTTATATCCAGCAATTCTGTCTTTATATCTCCCAATTCTGACTTTATATCTCGCAATTCTGACTGTATATCTCGCAATTCTGACTTTATATCACGCAATTGGGACTTTATATCTAGCAATTCTGACTTTATATCTCACAATTCTGACTTTATATCTAGCAATTGTGTGATAAAAAGTCACAATTATTTTTTTTGTTGTTTTTATTCAGTGGCGGAAACAAGCGTCCATACGTTTCTGCATTTTTTACCCCCTGCAAAACCTTTTATTGTTTAATTTGATGTGATTTTCACAAAAACTTGAGTAGCTCCATCAATATTAAATACAATTTTTTTTTTAAATTCTTCAATCTTCTCACACTTTACAACCAGAAAAAAATACTGTGTACTACTGTGGAAGTATGTTCATAGATAGAGCGTCAGTGCATTCATTTGTAAGTAGGCCATGAGCTGTATTCATAAATGCATGCATGCCTTCACCTCTTGTGCTGCTCCTTTCTCCAAGATATTTGAGTGTAGCAGTTGACATGGCTTACTTTAAATAGCTCAAATTCGACTCGCGTCTGGCAGATTTCCTGTTGTTTTTTCATGACTCTGAAAGCATTGGCATTCTTACGTTTTGAAAAGCTTTTCTTTTCTTTTTCATTTGAAGACTCTCTAAGGGCTCTCAGCAGGTATAGCTGTATCTATCAGAGAGGCCGGTTCCTTTCATGTCTCTGTAACGTGTTTACTCAGCAGAATTGTCTTTGAAAACACAAAGCTTTATGTTTTAGGTAAAACAGTTAAACCAGGCAAGAAACAAGTCTGACTTAGATTAAAGATGAAGATTTTGACCTGTGATCATCTTTTTCCACAGTGTCTCCCTTATTTAATGCATTTTTTATCGTGATCGTTCCACTGGAACATTAGACCCAGTCCAAACTCAAGCTAGTTTTAAAAGGTACAGATAACAGTTACAAAAGACTCTCACGCGATCACAAAACTACCTTTTCATTTAACTAATTAAATGCTTTTGTTGGAAAGAACTAACCACCAAGCTTTCCTATTTTAGGATAGAGAACTTCTTTCGCGCTAGAGTTTAGATACAAGGAGTCTTCCCCGGAGAGGCAATTATCCTGGAAGATTTCAATGTTCCCTGCTTGACTAATGTATTTGCGAAGGTCAGTTAAAGGTCTTCAAGGGCATTTTTTCCGAATAAACCAGGTCTAATTGATGTTTTATGTAATTTTACACAGCATTGGGGAGCAGCTAGCTACAATTAACATAATGTAACTACATTTTTCAGTTGCTTGATGCTACTTCAACCATGTAGCAGTGTTGCAACACATAATATACCGTATAACATCTATGCTTGTTTAGAATATGAACTAAGATTGGTTCAAAATCCAAATCGGTTAAGTAAACAAAATAAAGAGGTTACACAAAGGCACTTTCTATAAATTACCATGACAAATCATGTTTTTAGACATGGACAGTTTTATTTTTTCAGGATATTTGTGTGAAGACTTTTAGAAATACAGTAATAATATGACTGAAATTCTAAAAAGGTTAGTTCCGATCCTTGATTCTGATTGGTCAATAGCTGTGCTTTATTCATGACCGCTTCACCCAACGGTTCTATTTCTCACTGTGCAACACTGTAGTTCCTATGTTGTGTTTATTTGAGCTTTCATGCATATTATACGCTGGAACATTTCTGTTCATGGTCAGGGACTATTTTTTTTCTAGCGGAAGGAAGGCTTTTAGTGATTTTACTTCATGAAAGTTGCACTAATACATTTTTTTTTTTACTTGAATATTTTTATTGCGTGGTAATCGTTTTATAAAAAAGCAAAAAGGTACTCGAGGCAAGTGCTGTCTCGTGAATAAGTAACCGTTGAAGGGGTTACTCCGCTTCACGTCGTGCCTCACAACGCCCTCCAGCCGTTACTTATTCACGATACAGCTCAGCCTCTCATACCTTATTGCTTACGTATTTAAGTATTAAATATTTAAGTATTAGCTACTATTTTATAGGAAAAAAACATCTAGAAAAAGATGTGGGTTTTTAAAATGTATGGTACCTCCTCCAGTTACTTGAAATGCTATTGTTTTGCCATTTGAAGTAGTGACCGTTAGTGTAACAGCGCAGCGCTACGTCCGAAAGTAGGCTCACTAATGGCCGATGCTGGTCATGAGTGTGATGCTGGCCAATAGTGAGCCTACAATCTAACATAGCGCTCTGTTACACACTGAGGCCCACACAGAAGAAGATAGTTGAATAATAAAGTCATTATTTTGGGGGTGTTTGCGCACAAAAAGCATTCTTGTCGCTTGATAAAATTGAGGTTGGGCCACTGTAGTCACTCAGACTATTTTAAAGCTACACTGTGTGATTTTTACCCCCATCTGGCGGTGAAAAGGTATATGAGCATCCAGTGAATATTAGTTTCTGTTCCTCTCAATTCCGATTTCGTTTTAACTCCTACGGTGGCCAGTGTAGTCCAAGATTAACATGGCTTCCAGTTCGACCTCATCCATGACTGTTAACTCAAACGTAAACGCGAAAGGCGTTTGTCCCTCTTTGGCTAATGTACATTCAAGATTGAGGGGCAACATGGCGACCGACATTAGAACCCCTTACCCGTATGTATTTTCAATGGCATATTATACACTCACGAGAATACTTTATATACATTAATGAGCACTTATATTTTTGAAAGAACTAAGTGTTTTTAGCTAAGAATAAACTAAAAGAGTTAAACAGTGTAGCTTTAACAATGTTTTTACTAACTTTCTGGGCCGACAGGTTTCAATTACAATAGAAGCCTATGGAGGAGTGAGACAGCTCTCAGATTTCCTTAAAAAAATATCTTGATTTGTGTTCAGAAGAAGAACGAAAGTCTTACGGGGTTGGAACAACATGAGGGTGAGTAATAACTGACAGAATTTTCATTTTCGGGTGAACTATCCCTTTAAGCTACTATATACTATAGGGTGTATAGTGTACATTGTACAATGCACATCATTAATTGTTTTGATTTT